AAAAAGTTAAAACACCCTCTCACAAAAGTTAAAACACACCCACACAAAAGTTAAAACGCCCTCACACAAAAGCTAAAACACACCTATTACAATGTCACACAACCACACCCCTATTTCCTACAATTACCATAATGTCTATCTCCACATGGGTGTAGCAACTAAACTACATCAAAGGCAGTTAAGTTACAGACAGTGTAAAGACAGAACAGAGCAGCATTCAGAACAGGTTAGCACATCAAAGGACGCTTAGCAGACGACAGATAAAAAAACAAGACAAGAATCAAATTGTAAAACACCTGTAAGACATCCTGGGACAAAACATAACACGACTGTCAAACACAGACAATAGGCAAACTATAACAACAGACAACAGATAACAATACACAAACTATAACAACAGGCAACAGACAACAATACACAAACTATAACAACAGACAACAGATAACAATAGACAAACTATAACAACAGACGACAGATAACAATAGACAAACTATAACAACAGACAACAGATAACAATAGACAAACTATAACAACAGCAACAGATAACAATAGGCGAGTAATAACAATAGGCAAACTATAGCAACAGAGAACAGCTTTGGCGGAAAGCAGTATTTCCTTCAGACATTTTCCTACGTGAAGGTTGGGGGGTGGGGGGTGAGGTTTGGGTGGATTTGAAATTTTCATGTAGGAGGGGGAGCCGTCTAAGATTTCCGAAGAAAGGGGAAGAGGTACATTCTATCTCGTGGAGGTTGAGTTTGGGGTGGTGGTTTATCAGCCAATTACTTTCCAGAAAGTAATTGGCTGATAGCCCCCCCCCCCCCCCCGCCAAAGTTTGCAACGCATTGAACCAGAAGACAGCTTCACAAAAGGGGCAGCACACAAACTAGGGGATATAATTAACGAGGCCTGTATACAATGGACTGGATCATGTCCCTTTTCATGCTTGGCCTACACAAGACGGCATACAGGCAACACTAGTTAACTGTATAGCCACATCACAAAGTTCGTTGACAATCACATAACACGATTTATCTGATACCCTCAAACACTGTGCCACATACAACATATATATGATACAGATGTACGACCCACGCCACAATGGCCGTCATTCCGGGCATATGTCGCATATGTTACCCCCATCTGAAGATTACATAAGGATGCTTGTCCTTCTTACTTGTGTCCTAACGACGCATGTTCTACTAATGTAAATCATATTTTGTGAACTGAGCTATATGATAGTTTTGTTTCTTTCAGAACTGACCCCACCCTACATCACCTGTCCCACCAGTCAGGCGAGGGTCATCATCAGGCTGTCTCAGATCAGCATGTACGGACTGCACTGTCAGGCAAACGGCAGACCTACACCTATGTGAGTACTCACTCAACCATGTACATGTATGAGTAGTCACACAATCATGTAGTCACTCAACCATGTACATAACAGTTTCACACCTGTGTGAGTAATTCACTCAACCATGTACATAACAGTTCCATTCTTGTGTAAGTAGTCACTCAACCATGTACATAACAGTTCCACCTGTATGAGTAGTCACTCAACCATGTACATATCAGTTCCGCACCCGTGTGAGTAGTTCACTCTATTGTCCATCTGAGGCAGGTGGACTCCTAAGACTCACTGCAGGAATCAAACTCGAGACATCTGGCTTAGCCACCGAGTGCTCTAACACTCGACCCGCCGACCATCGATGTTCGTAAACAAAAAAAAATCCTTTAGACATTTACCTTTGTATTACAGCTACAGCTGGTACATCAATGGCCTACAAGTTGATAACACGAACCCATCGCTTCATGTTTTAACAAATGGAACACTTGTGATGCGAAACTTTACACAACAGTACGACGGTGTATACCAATGCCGAGCTGGGAATAAATTCGGAACATCAGTCTCGGTCAAGTTTCAAGTTTTGGTTGAGAAGGAGGCTGTTAAGTTTCCTAACTCGGAAGGTGAATATTTTTGTTTAAATTTTTTTTCGATCAATATAGTATAAACGCTTTTTATTAAAATATATTTTATAGGTACTTTTTAACCCATAAAATTTAACAAATTAAATTAAACTTGTATATTAATGAGCCTATGTAAAATCTACAGTTCTTCATCAAACTTCATTCGTGGAAAGTAATGTTTTGATTAATACGACTGCTGTTGCTCGTGTAATATATTCAACTGCTATCTAAAGTTAACTGTTTAGACAAGGTTATCAGGTTAGCTGTGGGTAGCTTGTGAGTCAGTGGAGAACAAACCGTACGTTCAAAGTTTTTCCACCCCCCCCCCCACAGAGTCTGAGGTGGAATCGATCCCTATAGAGGCCGAGGAAGGTCAGCCGTTGTCCGTAACGTGTGGGCAGACGCCACAGACGGTGCCAGAGTACATCAGGAGGTGGTACAGGTACACGGGCTCATCAGAGCTGGTCATGGGCGAACGTGTTGGCACGGACTTAAACGGTGAGTGAATCATACAGGTGAGTGAATCATAAAGTTGAGTGAATCATAAAGCTGAGTGAATCATACAGGTGAGTAAATCATAAAGGTGAGTCAATCTTAAAGTTGAGTGAATCATAAAGTTGAGTGAATCATAAAGGTGAGTGAATCATAAAGTTGAGTGAATCATAAAGCTGAGTGAATCATAAAGTTGAGTGAATCATAAAGTTGAGTGAATCACAAAGTTGAGTGAATCATAAAGTTGAGTGAATCATAAAGTTGAGTGAATCATAAAGTTGAGTGAATCATAAAGTTGAGTAAATCATACAGGTGAGTAAATTATAAAGGTGAGTCAATCTTAAAGTTGAGTGAATCATAAAGTTGAGTGAATCATGAAGTTGAGTAAATCATAAAGTTGAGTAAATCATAAAGTTGAGTAAATCATACAGGTGAGTAAATCATACAGGTGAGTAAATCGTAAAGTTGAGTGAATCATCAAGTTGAGTGAATCATACAGGTGTAAATCATAAAGGTGAATAAATCATACAGGTGAGTAAATCATACAGGTGAGTCAATCATAACGGTGTAAATCATAAAGTTGAGTGAATCATAAAGGTGAGTAAATCATAAAGTTGAGTGAATCATCAAGTTGAGTGAATCATACAGGTGAGTAAATCATGAATTAATATAAGTAACCCACTCAAGTCACAAATCATGACTTAACCAATCAGCTGCAAGCTACAAAGAATGAACAACAGAAAATATTCTCATTGTTAACTAATTTCTCAAAAATCACTTAAACTTTAACATGTTACAAACCAAGTAGATTAATTAGAGTTCATTTTCCCCCTCCAATAGTAAAATATTTTATCAAACCTATATATAGGCACACTGCACTTTGCCTACGTTGAAAGACAAGATGGCGACACGAGCAGCAGACAGATAAGATGTGGGCTGGCGCCAAACGGTTCCTCGAGCTCCACCATTTACATGTACAGCTCCTACAGCATCACGGTCAAGGTCGCGAATACAGGTGGGTCAAGGCCGTGAATACAGGTGGGTCAAGGTCGTGAATACAAGTGGGTCAAGGTCGCGAATACAGGTGGGTCAGCGACGGTATGGTAGATCAGTGTATTGTAGGGACAGAGCTGTGTGATATCGTGACAGAAGTGTTTTTTTCATAAAAGGGGCTACACTACTGATTCTGTGTTTTGTCGTGAAATGGCATTAGAATATGTTATAGATCCTTGTTTTATATGGTCCCTCGCACCATCACCTCCTCCAATGGTAGTGAACCTCCAGCTCCCCAGCTGATGACAATAGAAGTGCAGCTTCTCCCTAACACCATAGAACCAGTTGGTCTTTCACAGCCCGTTGTTTTTTTCAGGCGATTCTCTGCCCAGATTGATACACAGCAGCACCAATGTCAAAGGTCATCTTGGAGATCGTGTCACGCTTGAGTGTTTCTTCTCTGGACGGTAATGGAATCATTTTTCATGTAGAAGAAATTAGACTACCGTTACAGATGTGAATAAAGAAAAAATGTTCTGCTAGTTAGAATGAATGGGTGGACAATTAGACACGGAGAGCTTACTAATTATCTAAGAAAAACACAATTGTCAGTTTTTAAGTTTAATAAAGGTGTCCAGTTAATTCACTTACCTGATACGAAAACTTTGATATCAGGTAACATCTGTATGATGTAGCATCAGCTTGTACGTTGTGAGGGCGAGCCGTTCTCTTGAGACGGTACAGAGGCTAGTGGTCTTTGGTGCGGTTATACAACTTTATACGGTGTTTGAACTTGGCTCGAAATCTCTCACGTTTTGTAATATTCTGATCGCGTACAGGCCTGTCCCCAAGGTGACGTGGACAGACAACAAAAACAACGGTATCCATGGCAACCAGCGATTCCAGCTGCAGGACTTTAACCGGAAGTTGGTTATCACGGAAGTGAGGCAGGAAGACGAGGGGTACTTCATGTGTACAGGCACCAATTCTATGGGTTATGCGCAGACTGAGATCTACTTCAATGTCACGTGTACGTATCAAAGGCCATTGGCGTTCTTAGTGTGGTGTTAGGGGTGGGGTTGATTTTAAGCATTGTTTCTTCCAGACTTTTTTCTCCTGGGGGGGGGGGGGACTTGATATTTGAGGGGGGGGGGGGGGGCGGACAACATTTTCCGGGAAGGGGGCGGACATATATGTTTTCTATATAAAATTCCATTTCGTTCGCGGGGGGGGGGGGGGAGGGGGGAAAGGGGTGGCGGTAGATGAGAGATGCCTGGAAGAAAATCTGATTGTAAGATCCGCCTCAACGATCATGTCTAACAACTGTGTGCTGTTTACTGCACCGAACTTGTTTGCGAGAAGAGTATTATCATACTGCGTCAAAAGCAATTTCGATTTTGAAAAATTAAAACCTTTCCGAAATTCGCGGTTTCATAGAAAAACTTATACATGCCCCGTTCAAATTAAATTTAGTGCTGTCAATTGCTTCATAAGAATTTTTCATTGACCAATGACTCAAATAGAGCTCTACTGACTACAAGTAAAACTAAAAACAAGGCTTGAATTCAGTTTGTTAATCTAAAGCGTGAAAAGTAAATTACGGTAAACGACTATTTAAAATAAATTCAGTACCTTGAATGACAGAGATATACATACGTGGTCTTGTTTTTGGATAGACATATGGTCAGTATGACACAACTAATAGAGGGTCAGTACTTATACAATGTATCGCACGTAACTCTTTTAAATAGCTGCACCCATGAGAGAGAGTTCTTTTGGGCCCCTTACTTACCCTACAGAACACGACGTCACATTAAACTGTACAGCAAGGGCGGCAATCCAGGAAAAACTAGACAACCCAGTCTGGTATAGGAACGGCGAGTTGTTTATAGAAGGTAGGTAGGTAGGTAGGTGTGTGTGGGGGGGGGAGGTTGGCTGGGGTTTTTGTGGGGGGGGGGGGGGGCTGGTTTTTGTGGGGGGAGAGGCTGGTTTTTGTGGGAGGATAAGGTTTAGCTACAAGGGCGGAACAACTATACCGCTAGATCCAACAATGCAGGGGAGGGTGGTGGGACAGACCATTTAAAGTAAGTAAAGTTCCCTTTTCAAACCTGACGGTCTATACGTCAAGTGAAGTAGAGTTCACTTGTTTCTGTGACCGCGGCATATGAAGAGATAGTGTGGTCAGCATTATTCCCAGCCGCCTTTACTTTCCCTAACGTGAGTTAGGTACCCATCAGACAATGTAGTAGGGGGCCATAAATTCAATATCCTTGATAGACTAGTGGATCTATATAAAAAACAACAACATATCTCCAGTTGTGATTTTTCTGCAGTGACTTACACTGTTGAGTAGGAAGAACACAATATAAGCTTCAGTGTGATAAATAGGCAGACCTTCAAACAACATGCATGATTTATTGTTCCTAAATAAATAATCGAATAGGGGTGCCAATAAAGCTAATTTAAATAGTGTTGTAAACATCAAATTAAAAGGCAGTACATTCTCTGATATATTAGTAAAATACTTGAGAAATTGTTGCACATTTTTTTTATGCCAGTGTTTTCGTGAAAGTTTTTCTGTATGTCACCAGAGAACATCTCTGGCGTGTACAGAGTTTAGTAATAGTTTTCTATATCTGTGAATGAATACACGACTTCCTGTTTGTTTGTTTGTTTGTTTGTTTGTTTGTTTGTTTGTTTATTTGTTTGTTTGTCTGTACCAGAGAACTTCCCTGATGTGTACCGGTACAGGTTTAACGAGGACAGGACGAGGCTGAGCATAAAAAACCTGAACAAGAGCGTCGATACGGCCTGCTACCAGTGTAATATCTCAAACAGCGAGGGCTACATCTTTTACGACGGCTACATCAGGGTCATAGGTAGGTGGGGCTACATCAGGGTCATAGGTGGGTGGGGCTACATCAGAGTCATAGGTAGGTGGGGCTACATCAGGGTCATAGGTAGGTGGGGCTACGTCAGGTCATAGGTAGGTGGGGCTACATCAGGGTCATAGGTAGGTGGGGGCTACATCAGGGTCATAGGTGGGTGGGGCTACATCAGGGTCATAGGTAGGTGGGGCTACATCAGGGTCATCAGGGTCATAGGTAGGTGGGGCTACATCAGGGTCATAGGTGGGTGGGGCTACATCAGGGTCATAGGTGGGTGGGGCTACATCAGGGTCATAGGTAGGTGGGGCTACATCAGGGTCATAGGTAGGTGGGGCTATATCAGGGTCATAGGTGGGTGGGGGCTACAGCAGGGTCATAGGTAGGTGGGGCTACATCTTTTATGACGGCTACATCAGGGTCATAGGTGGGTGGGGCTACATCAGGGTCATAGGTAGGTGGGGGCTACAGCAGGGTCATAGGTAGGTGGGGCTACATCTTTTATGACGGCTACATCCGGGTCATAGGTAGGTGGGGCTACATCTTTTATGACGGCTACATCAGGGTCATAGGTAGGTGGGGTAACATCAGGGTCATAGGTAGGTGGGGCTACATCAGGGTCATAGGTGGGTGGGGCTACATCAGGGTCATAGGTGGGTGGGGCTACATCAGGGTCATAGGTAGGTGGGGGCTACAGCAGGGTCATAGGTAGGTGGGGCTACATCAGGGTCATAGGTAGGTGGGGCTACATCTTTTATGACGGCTACATCCGGGTCATAGGTAGGTGGGGCTACATCTTTTATGACGGCTACATCAGGGTCATAGGTAGGTGGGGCTACATCAGGGTCATAGGTAGGTGGGGCTACATCAGGGTCATCAGGGTCATAGGTAGGTGGGGCTACATTAGGGTCATAGGTGGGTGGGGCTACATCAGGGTCATAGGTAGGTGGGGGCTACAGCAGGGTCATAGGTAGGTGGGGCTACATCAGGGTCATAGGTAGGTGGGGCTACATCTTTTATGACGGCTACATCCGGGTCATAGGTAGGTGGGGCTACATCTTTTATGACGGCTACATCAGGGTCATAGGTAGGTGGGGCTACATCAGGGTCATAGGTAGGTGGGGCTACATCAGGGTCATCAGGGTCATAGGTAGGTGGGGCTACATTAGGGTCATAGGTGGGTGGGGCTACATCAGGGTCATAGGTAGGTGGGGGCTACAGCAGGGTCATAGGTAGGTGGGGCTACATCAGGGTCATAGGTAGGTGGGGCTACATCTTTTATGACGGCTACATCCGGGTCATAGGTAGGTGGGGCTACATCTTTTATGACGGCTACATCAGGGTCATAGGTAGGTGGGGCTACATCAGGGTCATCAGGGTCATAGGTAGGTGGGGCTACATCAGGGTCATAGGTGGGTGGGGTTAACTCAGGGTCATAGGTAGATGGGGCTACATCAGGGTCATAGGTAGGTGGGGCTAACTCAGGGTCATAGGTAGGTGGGGCTACATCAGGGTCATAGGTGGGTGGGGTTAACTCAGGGTCATAGGTAGATGGGGCTACATCAGGGTCATAGGTAGATGGGGCTAACTCAGGTCATAGGTGGGTGGGGTACATCAGGGTCATAGGTAGGTGGGGGCTACATCTTTTATGACGGCTACATCAGGGTCATAGGTAGGTGGGGCTACATCAGGGTCATAGGTAGGTGGGGCTACATCAGGGTCATAGGTGGGTGGGGTTAACTCAGGGTCATAGGTAGATGGGGCTACATCAGGGTCATAGGTAGGTGGGGCTAACTCAGGGTCATAGGTAGGTGGGGCTAACTCAGGGTCATAGGTAGGTGGGGCTACATCAGGGTTTTAGGTAGGTGGGGCTACATCAGGGTCATAGGTAGGTGGGGCTACATCAAGGTCATAGGTAGGTGGGGCTACATCAGGGTCATAGGTAGGTGGGGCTACATCAGGGTCATAGGTAGGTGGGGCTACATCAGGGTCATAGGTAGGTGGGGCTACATCAGGGTCATAGGTAGGTGGGGCTACATCAAGGTCATAGGTAGGTGGGGCTACATCAAGGTCATAGGTAGGTGGGGCTACATCAAGGTCATAGGTAGGTGGGGCTACATCAGGGTCATAGGTAGGTGGGGCTACATCAGGGTCATAGGTAGGTGGGGCTACATCAGGGTCATAGGTAGGTGGGGCTACATCAAGGTCATAGGTAGGTGGGGCTACATCAGGGTCATAGGTAGGTGGGGCTACATCAAGGTCATAGGTAGGTGGGGCTACATTAGTGTCATAGGTAGGTGGCCCTACATCTTTTATGACTACCACAACAGTCATGATGGTTACATAAGCCTACTTAAAGACTTTAACTCGCTATCTTCAACTAGCTTATCTATGAAATGGACTATTTTTGACATGTATACTTTGTAACTTTATTACGTAACTTTGATAAATATTACGTAACTCCCGAATTCTTTTGGAATGGTTCTAGACTGACAAATTATACGAAACTATAAAAGACTACCAGAAACAAAAACTCTTCATAGACTCAAATCTAATGTCTAGGGTAAATATGAATACAAAGACTTTCTGAAACTAATAAACATTTAACATATCTAAAACCTTCTTGTCACAGGCTTTTTTCCTACCTATTTCATGGCACACACTCAAAAACAAAAATCAACCCTTGTTCCTGTAATTTCCATAATTTTATTGGTTCATAAGAGCTTCGTCTTCACTTCCACACATCGCCGAGTTCTTCTCGCGCTCTCTACCTCTCGCTTCCTTTCCTTTCGCGCATGCGCACACCCACACCATATTTTTTATATTTTTATTTCGCCTTTTTAAGACACACACTCGCAACATACATTCATATACATTTAACTGTTTTACTTCTAAAAAGCAAACAAGTCTAAATAATGAAATACTATGCACAAAAATATACAATAATGAAAAACCCAACTTACAATTTCAGGAATAACACACTGAACCTACTAACACTGGATAAGGTTATCACCTCAACCAACACGTTATTAAAATAAGACACAGAAAAATAATAAATACACTGGAATTTAGAGATAATTGCTGCCTAATCTAGGAAGTAGGCCTACAACATGGCGACATTGCTCTCTCTCTCTATGGGTGTCTAGTGGGCTCCTCGTGCTAGGAAAGTTTCCCCTTTATATACTTCTCTAAAATTATGGGATGTTGACATCAATGTTACGGACCATTGTGAATACTATCACATGAGTGTGATGGAAACATTTTTTAGTTCAAACAACATATATCTCAAGACCATTTAAAATATTAATACAATTAAACTTTAAAAAAGAAGACCTCCTTAGGTCACACCTTCTGTAACCACTTTGTGAAATGTGTCTCGACAGATTCCATCAAAATACAAACCAGACCTCCAGAGATTATCAACCTTGTGGAAGCACCGAACAACCTTGACCTTACAGTGATAGCAACCTCTGACCCCTGCTGCCCTTTGACGAGGATCTGGCAGTTCAATGGCAGTCAGGTGACTGGACTCTTCGAACAACATCCGTTCTAGTGAGTGCTTCTATGTACACATCTGTTCTAGTGAGTGGTTCAATGGCAGTCAGGTGACTGGACTCTTCGAACAACATCCGTTCTAGTGAGTGCTTCTATGTACACATCTGTTCTAGTGAGTGGTTCAATGGCAGTCAGGTGACTGGACTCTTCGAACAACATCCGTTCTAGTGAGTGCTTCTATGTACACATCTGTTCTAGTGAGTGGTTCAATGGCAGTCAGGTGACTGGACTCTTCGAACAACATCCGTTCTAGTGAGTGCTTCTATGTACACAACATCCGTTCTAGTGAGTGGTTCTATGTACACAAAATATGTTCTAGTGAGTGCTTCTATGTACACATATGTTCTAGTGAGTGGTTCTATGTACACATAGGTTCTAGTGAGTGGTTCTATGTACACACAACATCTGTTCTAGTGAGTGGTTCTATGTACACTTAATATGTTCTAGTGAGTGGTTCTATGTACACACAACATCTGTTCTAGTGAGTGGTTCTATGTACACACAACATCTGTTCTAGTGAGTGGTTCTATGTACACATCTGTTCTATTGAGTGGTTCTATGTACACATCCGTTCTAGTGAGTGCTTCTATGTACACAAAATATGTTCTAGTGAGTGGTTCTATGTACACAAAATATGTTCTAGTGAGTGCTTCTATGTACACATCTGTTCTAGTGAGTGGTTCTATGTACACATCCGTTCTAGTGAGTGCTTCTATGTACACATATGTTCTAGTGAGTGGTTCTATGTACACACAACATCTGTTCTAGTGAGTGGTTCTATGTACACTTAATATGTTCTAGTGAGTGGTTCTATGTACACATCTGCTCTAGTGAGTGGTTCTATGTACACAAAACATCAGTTCTAGTGAGTGCTTCAATTTACACAGCATCCGTTCTAGTGAGTGCTTCTATGTACACAACAAATGTTCTAGTGAGTGGTTCTATGTACACAAAATATGTTCTAGTGAGTGCTTCTATGTACACATATGTTCTAGTGAGTGGTTCTATGTACACAAAATATGTTCTAGTGAGTGCTTCTATGTACACATATGTTCTAGTGAGTGGTTCTATGTACACACAACATCTGTTCTAGTGAGTGGTTCTATGTACACTTAATATGTTCTAGTGAGTGGTTCTATGTACACATCTGCTCTAGTGAGTGGTTCTATGTACACAAAACATCAGTTCTAGTGAGTGCTTCAATTTACACAGCATCCGTTCTAGTGAGTGGTTCTATGTACACAACAAATGTTCTAGTGAGTGGTTCTATGTACACAAAATATGTTCTAGTGAGTGCTTCTATGTACACATATGTTCTAGTGAGTGGTTCTATGTACACATAGGTTCTAGTGAGTGGTTCTATGTACACACAACATCTGTTCTATTGAGTGGTTCTATGTACACATCTGTTCTAGTGAGTGGTTCTATGTGCACATCAGTTCTAGTGAGTGGTTCTATGTACACAAAACATCAGTTCTAGTGAGTGCTTCAATTTACACAGCATGAATTTTAGTGAGTGGTTCTATGTACACAGCATATGTTCTAGTGAGTGGTTCTATGTACACAACATCCGTTCTAGTGAGTGCTTCTATGTACACAACATCCGTTCTAGTGAGTGCTTCTATGTACACAACATATGTTCTAGTGAGTGGTTCTATGTACACAACATCCGTTCTAGTGAGTGGTTCTATGTGCACATCAGTTCTAGTGAGTGGTTCTATGTACACAACATCTGTTCTAGTGAGTGGTTCTATTACTTATCTGTTCTAGTGAGTGGTTCTATGTACACAACAAATGTTCTAGTGAGTGGTTCTATGTACACAACATATGTTCTAGTGAGTGGTTCTATGTACACAACATCCGTTCTAGTGAGTGGGTTCTACGTACACAACATATGTTCTAGTGAGTGGTTCTATGTACACAACATCTGTTCTAGTGAGTGGTTCTATGTACACAACATCCGTACTAGTGAGTGGTTCTATGTACACAACATCTGTTCTAGTGAGTGGTTCTATTACTTATCTGTTCTAGTGAGTGGTTCTATGTACACAACAAATGTTCTAGTGAGTGGTTCTATGTACACAACATATGTTCTAGTGAGTGGTTCTATGTACACATCTGTTCTTGTGAGTTGTTTTAGATACAGGTGGTTCGTTGTAACAGATTTACATTCAGAATGTTTTTTTTCTTGGTACTTATTAATTTTCACACCAAAATTTTCAAAAATTATGTTGCTACTGCCATTGTCATAATATCAATAATAAAGTAAGCTGGCCATTGAAGGCCTAATACTGCCAGACTAGAAAGGAATACGACATATGGTCGTAAATACACACCAGCAACAATTCGGTTACGATACCTGCTTTTGTTACAGTTTATTTCATCAATGTATCAACACGTATTATTGCCATATTTGAATTTTTAACATTCAAATACATTTCTTTCCCCAGTGATTATGGCTCGTCCACGGGTACTTTGTTTATCAACAAGTCCCTGGTGTCACGTGATCAGCTGATGGACGTTGTTGGACACTACAGGTTGAGTCTGTACAACAGGTACCAGACTGTTGACGTCACGTTCTCTCTAACTTTAGAAGGTGAGTACTTCATACAACAGGTACCAGACTGTTGACGTCACTTCATACAACAGGTGTCAGACTGTTGACGTCACTTCATACAACAGGTGTCAGACTGTTGACGTCACGTTCTCTCTAACTTTAGAAGGTGAGTACTTCATACAACAGGTACCAGACTGTTGACGTCACGTTCTCTCTAACTTTAGAAGGTGAGTACTTCATACAACAGGTAACGAAATGATGGTGTCTCCCTAACTACAGAAGGTACTTAGCTCTTACACGGGTTGAAAGTGTATAAGTGTATTAACATCATCCTCAGCTAAAGAGCAGGTGTTTTTACTTGTATTTTAATAAAAGATTGGTTGTCGTGGTGTTTTTTAATTAGAAAATGGTTGTCGTCGTGATTTTCAGTGTTCCTGAGTTCAGTGTTTAAATGTGTGTTTCTTTTATTATTTCTTAGTTATTTTTTTAAACACGTGGTACAATTGTAATAAGTTCCCCCCTCACCCCTCCCCTCCCTCCCCGGTCACCAGATGGCGTGGCGGAAGGTTTTATTGTCGCTGTGGTGGACTACAACCTCTGGTGGGTTGGCTTGTTGTGTGGTGTTTTAGCCATCATCTGCGCCCTTGTCGTCGTCATCTTCATCGTCAAAAACAATTTTCCAAGACGAACTTACCAGCGTATGTTTTTTTGTATCCCACTACTCTTGCTTGATACTGCTAGTAGTTTTAAACTCCTCCAAATTTTGTCTGACAGTCAAACATTAATTAGATTAATGTATGCCTGTGAAAACATAGATGACTGTCATTCATTCTTAATAGTAGATTAACTAATTGGCTCATCGTTCATCTTTTTAAAGTAGGTAGACGTTGGTAAAAGCAAGGAAAAAATATACTCGTAGTATCATTTGTAGAGACAAACACATGGATTATTTTGATTGAAAATAAATAGATATTTAAAAGAAACTTTTATTGCGATGTAATTTTTAATCCTATTATTTTCTAGTTGAAAAAGCGGAAATAAAACAAAACTTAGACCCTAAGGCTGACCTACGTGAACAAAGATTCAAAGACATTTAACACAAAGCAGAAGCGCAGGAAAATTTTCAAGAAGTCAAAACACAACAGCTGATCAAAAAAAAAAAAAAAAAACAGCTGTATTAGCAGAAGAAACATTGGTTTGTCAATATTTAGACCTACATCTTTAACTTCAAATTGAATTATTGCATATAATAATTCAAGATTTTGAAATCAATAGGCGACAAACATAACAGTCTGCCTGATCTGATGCAATGCTTCCAATTCTATGACTCAAATGTAAATTCTTAAACTTTACTGACGACCAACTGCCTTACGATTTTCAAGCAATCAACAGAGATTAGTTTCATCATATTACATGATTGTAATCATTTCACCAAAATTGAAGCCAAATTAAAAATATCATATCATAAACCATCGATGACCAGTTATAGCAAGTATCTAAACAAATGTAACGATAGCACGTGAGAAACTAAATGAATATCAGCATTCGGCATTGGAGAATCTGCTGCAACCTTAGCATACAGCACAAGAGCATCCTCTGACGGTTTATAGTGGCGTGAAAGGTCATCAGGTTTATAGTGGTGTGAAAGGTCATCAGGTTTATAGTGGCGTGAAAGGTCATCAGGTTTATAGTGGCGTGAAAGGTCATCAGGTTTATAGTGGCGTGAAAGGTCATCAGGTTTATAGTGGCGTGAAAGGTCATCAGGTTTATAGTGGTGTGAACGGTCATCAGGTTTAAAGTGGTGTGAAAGGTCATCAGGTTTATAGTGGCGTGAAAGGTCATCAGGTTTATAGTGGCGTGAAAGGTCATCAGGTTTATAGTGGTGTAAAAGGTCATCAGGTTTATAGTGGTGTGAAAGGTCATCAGGTTTATAGTGGCGTGAAAGGTCATCAGGTTTATAGTGGTGTGAAAGGTAATCAGATTTATAGTGGCGTGAAAGGTCATCAGGTGTGAAAGGTCATCAGGTTTATAGTGATGTGAAAGGTCATCTGGTTTATAGTGGTGTGAAAGGTCATCAGGTTTATAGTGATGTGAAAGGTCATCTGGTTTATAGTGGCGTGAAAGGTCATCTGGTTTATAGTGGTGTGAAAGGTCATCAGGTTTATAGTGGCGTGAAAGGTCATCAGGTTTATAGTGGTGTGAAAGTTCATCAGGTTTATAGTGGTGTGAAAGTTCATCAGGTTTATAGTGATGTGAAAGGTCATCAGGTTTATAGTGGCGTGAAAGGTCATCAGGTTTATAGTGGTGTGAAAGTTCATCAGGTGTGAAAGGTCATCTTTGTTGGGTTTTTTTACCTGAAAATGAATCTACATCTACCAACATTTTTTCCACAAACTAACAAACAAATTTCGGATTCTTGATACAATAAATTAGTTTGACACATTTTGTCAACGTTTAAACTCGTGTAGACCAATCGAAAACTCCAACTATCTTCTTATTGTCTGCTCCCCAGTTATCTCCCATTTCCTTTGGGTTGATCCACTGGGTTGATCCACTGGGTTGATCCACTGTGTTGATTTTCAGGGTTGATCCACTGGGTTGATCCACTGGGTTGATCCACTGGGTTGATCCACGAGGTTGATCCACTGGGTTGATCCACTGGGTTGATCCACTGGGTTGATCCACTGGGTTGATCCACTGGGTTGATCCACTGGGTTGATCCACTGGGTTGATCCACTGGGTTGATCCACTGGGTTGATCCACTGGGTTGATCCACTGGGTTGATCCACTGGGTTGATCCACTGGGTTGATCCACTGGGTTGATCCACTGGGTTGATCCACTGGGTTGATCCACTGGGTTGATCCACTGGTTTGATCCACTGGGTTGATTTACTTGTTTTGTAGTGATTGGTGGGCGCTGGCATGCTAATGGATAGTTTGTCTTATATATAAATATATATATATATATATATATATATATATATATATATATATATATATATATTTAATTTTTGTATTTTGCTTTATTAATTTTGTTAAAAAAAATTATCTGTGTCCAAAAAAGCCGGACATATCATATCCATAGCCAACAAAACTTACTTTGTCAAATAAACTCTGTATTATAAAAACAGTTAATTTCTAACGTTGTATGTGTAGCACCACATAATAAGCCATCACTCAAATCTCAACATCACAATGCGTTAAAAGAACATCATAACCTATTAGAATAATATTACTGTCACTCACTGAATAAGACATTATACTGTGTTACAAAGAATCTAATAGCTTTTATAAAACATTGTTTTCATACTACTGTCAATCTACAATGTAGTAAAGTGTGAACACCCCGCACACACAATAAGGTTCGAGTTGTATCTGGGTTGATTCGACATTGAGGCGTGTGTGTGGGTTTAACAACTCGTATTCTGGTTCGCTGATTTCTCCATGATGAGTTATGTCCGTCATTAAGGCTTCGTAAGTGACGTAAGTTGTGCTCCCGTTAAAGTGTGTATCTACACACATACTGCCCGGATGTCGATGTGAAGTGGAAGACTTCCTCTCGGACTTTTCGCATTCTTGTCATTTTAGTAAGTTTATATTTGGTAATTTATTATTTTAACGCTTTTTTTAATTGAAAGCTATTTTGGTTTAAGATGTAATGTTTATTAGTAGCAGGTTCCTAATGTGTTTTGTGACGTCAAATAGTAACTTTCTATCGATCTCTTTCAACGTAAGCGTTGTTTTTGTTTAAATTTGTTTAAATGTGCATAATTTACGGCTCTACGGCCTTCGGGGTAACATCTATTTGAGCAAGTGTCTTTTGTGCAGACCTCTATTTGGTCGAGTGTATTTGGGGGGGGGGGGGGGGAACGAAAATTTTAAAAAATCCATTGAAATAAAAAAATCTCACTAAAATCAATCTAATGTTGAGTAGATGATGAGTATGAGAAGAACTGTTTGCGATTTGACATTAAGGATTACTTAGGTGAACGTGTGTTAACGATTGATACAGGAGCAGACAACTCTCACTTGGTAAGTCCTGTAAGAAGCAGTAGAGTGACACTGGCATACTTTCAAGCAAATGTTTACACTACCAGTTTCTTTCAAGAGATGCGTGTAAGAAATATGCTCGTGATCAGGGGACGTTACGTTACAAGATTTTGTTAAACAACAAACGGTTGGTGGTCAAAAAATATTTCCTTCAGTACCATCATTAATGCTATTATTCTTCAATAAAGCGACTTTTTATTCTATAATTTTTTTAGTGCAATTAGTGTTGTAAGTTTTAATGCTTTTTATTTTGTTCAGTGATTTTTTTTTACATACTTTTTGTGTTTATATATATTTGTATATGCTGTTTGTGAAATGTCACTGTTTGCTTTCAACCCATATAAAAAAAGAAATTATGATAAAGAATGAAGATTCTATTGTTTACAGATGTATGGAAAATCTCGAGAATTTATACTATTTTCAGTTGGTTAAGTTAGATAGTTTAAACAGTAGTTTGGAGTAAAGGCTGGAAAATCCAACTACTTATGTCTCGCATTACTCGTAAATCAATAGCTACTCCAGAAAACGGATGTGTGTCTGTTTTTTTGTTTTCTTAAAAACGTGATTTCCAGGCATGATGCGTTTAAGTACATAATTAATAAGTGTTCTGCTTATTGAAAAGTTAAAAAGTCCATATTGGGATTGTACAGCTTTCACAGCAATTCACGAAACACCATAATTGTTGGCTGGTTATCTCCCGTAACACTTGCATTAGTTTGTCTCCCTTGAGTCTTCTTTTGTGTATGTGTCATCACGCCCGCTAGCGAGCAAAGTGGGCGCACAATGTAGGATTGGCCAAAATTGGCTGCGTCCATTTCACTTCAAATTTGTCCTTCGTACTCATTGGATATATGACACACTGGCTACTAGTTATAGGTCGTCAGTTTAAAATTATGGTGTTTTGAAATTATCTGCATTCGTTAGCTTGCCATTTAAAAAAAAATCTAATTTTGATTGATTTGTTATCAAATGTTTCTAGTTTAAACATTTTTATATTTAAACTATCCTAATTAAGATAAAGACAAACGAACTAATTAGCCTAAAGTAAACTCATACCGAGGCTTGTAGAGTAAAACACGTACGTGGCATCGGGCAGTTCCACGAGAGGACATACAAGCCGTCATGTCTGTGACTGGACTACTCTGGCACCTGGCTGTTGTATGCTGGACCCTACAGGTGGGGCTGGGGGAGGTGTCCCACTCGCCAGGTGAGTCACGTGGTTTTTTGTGTGGTCAGACATTTCTTACAGGTGATGGGTTCACGTGGGTAGCTTTTTAATACGGTGTCGGTCGGCTCAAAACATTACATATTAGCCTATTATTTTATATGATAAGGCTTGTGATAATTTTACAACTGATGGGCTAGTAGGATGAACGGTTCTTATACAAAAGAAAATACAAACTGATTATTTAATAGATATTAAGAGAAAATATTTAAAATAAAATACAATTACATTTTTTTATTAATGTATGGAATACTGTCTACTTTCTGTTAGAGATCATCTATAGACGACCCCACGATTTTTACCTCCCCACCCCCTCTCTAATCGTCACACACAATCACAAAAAGACGTAATGACGCCACAACTCCAACTAACATTCTGCACCATTAAATTTTCAAACTTTTTGTGTTCTTAAATAATCGATTTAATTTTTCTGTTTAAGATATTTACTGAGAACGGTCAACATCGAGGGTCTTTGTCTATTTTTGTCCCATTTACCAAATCATTTTTATATGCAAATAACGGCTACAATTATAACAGTATTTATAACATTAAAACACTTCCCCACATGTGATATAAAGTAAAAAAGTCTGAACCCCCTCACACCCTATGAGTATAAAGTCAGTTTCTGGTTGCCTTTAAAATAGTGCAATTTAAATGTTCATTTAACTTTATCCTTATATATTAAAAGTTCATGTGCGCACTTTTCTCTCTCTGTCTGCAAAATATTTTCCGAGGCTATGAGATCAGTATCTTCAGCAATATATGAAGAACTTCATGATACGGGCTTTTGTTGAAAATAATATGTTAAATGTATTAAAGGTATAAACTAAATCGTATCAAAATAAGGGAAATAAAAATAAAGACATATTCGAATTTAGAAAAGAACTAAAAAACAATGATGTCATATGTCACATATTTAAACTTCGGAAATTACACAACATTAATGCGGTCATTCATCAGTGTGTGCAAGTAATATGGTGTTGTGTTCACTAGGAATGTTTCTAATTTGGTTTTAATTTTTCTAATAGTTATAGGTAGCCTATGCTATTTTAAATGTGTTGGATTTTTAGCTATTTATTTATTTTTTTGCTTTGTCACTAATATTGTTCAACGTGTAGTAAAGCACATTGCACTTTGACCAATAACAACTTTATAAATTATTTTTCTCAAAAAAGTATAGCATTAAAATATGTAGGCCTATAATTCACGTGTAACGGGTAACGATGGCTAGAAAATTATACACAGCCTTTAAAACTTGGTACTTGAAAAAGTTTTTTTGCGGAAAAAAACATTTTGGTCAACCTTTCAGAATACAAGTACTTATTTGAAAAACGATCTAACAAAAAGTTAGAATGGAACACGATTTAATATTTAAAATTGTAAACTTGAGGAACAGATAATGTTTACGCTGTACCGTAACTAGGATAATCGTAGCAAGATGGCGGCAAATCTAACGTCAGAACAAGATGGCGGCATATCTAACGTCAGAAGTCGTAGGAGTGGGTAGAACCACAACGTATTAGATTGACGTCACTTCGATGAAAATCTCGACATAACAAATTAGAGTTTAATTCATAATCAAGCACGCATTGACGTCATCCAACCAGAAGTGAAGAGAGTGATGACACCAAAGCTGATATTTTGTTACAGTATACATCGATTGTGGCAATTTAAATAAATCGGGAGTGATCTCCCCTAAACTTTCTCGAATATTCTTATATAACACTACGGGGGATGGCAACTCTGGATATAGACAATATTTTAAATCAATTTTTAATTACTTAAACTTTTAAAAATCGTAATATATAAAAGCCCATGTGTGCACTTCTCTCTCTCTCTCTCTCTCTCTCTCTCTCTCTCTCTCTCTCTCTGTGTCCGCAAAATATTTTCGCAGGAAATCACATCAGAATCTTCAGTGATATATGGATAACTTGATAAGGACTTTTGTTGAAAATAACATGGTTGATGTTTTAAATGTATAAAACAACTTATTTAGAGAAGACAAAAAAATAAAGGCATATTCGAATGTAGAAAAACAGTTTTAATTATGCAACCGGAAAAGTTTTTATAGTTGTGACAAGAACGCCGAAATCGATGATGTCACATGTCATATGTTTGAAGCACGGAAAGTACACAAAACCAATGGCGTCACCTTCCAATTTTAGAATACGAAGCAATGAACTATTTCATTTAAATTTGATTTAGATCTATAGATCTACTTATCGAGACGTAATTTATGAAATACAAATTACTTTAAAAACAACATAAATACCATTGAAAAGCCGGGATTTTAACAGAATCATTTAAGTCTTTTAATCAATGTGTGCATTTAATATGGTGTTGTGTAGACTAATTATATATATATATATATATATATATATATATATATATATATATATATATATATATATATATATATATATAATTTGGTTTTATTTTTCCTAATAGGTATTAGTAGACTATGTTATTTTAAATGTGTCGGACTTTTAGCTATTTAGTTATTTCTTTGCTTTGTCACTAATATCGTTAAACCAGTAGTAAAATACATTGCGTTTTGACCATTAACTATTTTATAAAATATTCTTCTAAAAATGTATAACATTAAAAATATATAGAACTATAATTCACGTGTAACGGGTACCGACCGCTAGTAGAATAGAATCTCGTAGAAACAAGAATTGCGCACCAAATGAACGTCAAAAAAATGTGTAAAATAAAAATAGTGCGGAATATTATTAGTACTTTATAAATTCACACGTTTTTTTTTGTTGAGAAATCGGAAATAGCCAAAATTACTACTTCCGGTAATCGAAATTTACTCAACATTTTATAAAAGGAAGAGAATTATATATTTTACCTGTAAGTGAAATTTCATTTATCTATCTGAAATAGTACTCAAGCTATAGGCTTTTGAAAAATTGAAAGTAGAAAATGTTCCTCTTCCGACTATCGGAAATCGTGGAAAAGTCGAAACGGGTCTACAAATTTGATATATGCTTATATATGAAATTTTATCAACCTAGCTGTAACAGCACTCAAGTTATCGACAACATTATCTCATTGATTGCTGCCCGCGATTACAACATTACCTCATTGATTGCTCATTAATTCCATACGTGACACGGACAGCGGAGTTTTGCCGTTGTGTTGACTGGTGCTCGCGGTAGTCCGCGGGTGATTAGCTCTCAGGTCTGGGCCTCTGGGGCGGGGGGGGGGGTGTCAGTTGTGTTTAGTGACAGGGGCTGGCTGGGTGTGGGCAGGGGTTTGGTGGGTGTGGGGAGCGGCTTAGTTGGTGTAGACGGGGGAAGGAGTGTATGCATTTCAGGCAAGTTTTTGTGTATGAAAAGGAGTTTTTAAAAATTTAAATCAAGTATTGAGAATAAGATATAGATATATTTTCTTAAAGCTTTAATTTAACAATTAAATTTTCATTTATGGGTGAGTTTAGGATCGCAATTGGTAATTTAAATTTTGTACTGATCTCCGGGGACGGATTGGTTTAGCGATATAAGGCTCTCTTGATAACATGACATTCAGTAGTTGGGTACTCGGGCTTTAGACAGTTACTCGACCAAACTTTCCCTGACAGCCACTCGACCAAACTTTCCCTGACAGTCACTCGACCAAACTTTCCCTGACAGCCACTCGACCAAACTGTCCCTGATATCCAATCAAGTTAGTGCCATGTCACGGTGGGTAACTCCCATTGGTAACACGGGTTAGATAAATGCTCTTATAGGTGAGAGAGAGAAAGAGAGAGAGAGATAGAGAGAGAGAGAGGGACGGAGAGGGAGGAGGAGAGAGGGCATGTTGATAACTTTATCAGTCAGGTGAGGTGATGTTAACAACGACGTTTTAAGAATCTGTTTAAAAAAAGAGAACGGCAGAGATAACAGAACTACTCATATTATTCACCAACTGGGTATAAAAATTTCGTGTGTCAGCTTAGAACAACCAGCTTTAAAAAAATGAAAAATAGATTTAATTGAAGACTTTTTCCTTTTGCGTTGGTGTATTTTTTAGTTTTTGCGTTGGTGTATTTTTTGATGTTGTTTTTTTAAGATCGAGATTCTTTATCATTTCACAACTTTTGTTTTTTGTACGAACGAATCTCGATCGCGAGAGGCTCTCCGCAGTTCATTTTGTTTCTATAGGTCTTAACTAAGTAGGCTACATCTGGTTGCCCTATTTTAAATTTGAAATCTAGAGAGTACAACATAGCTGTTAAGGTGTGTCGACTGTCCACGAAAGTCTAACACAGCTGTTGAAGTGTGTCGACTGTCCACGAAAGTCTAACACATCTGTTAACGCAAGTTGACCGCGTCACATCATGGTGGGTTAACTACTTTACGTGGGTCGAAACATCTTGACCTAAGTGATGCGGTGTAGGACTGACAACAACAACCACGGCGTCATAAGATGTTTGTCTGTGGTGTGAGCGTTCAGACTTCCTGTACCTAAAGTGTCGTGAGTGGTGTGTATGTGTGTGTGCTCGCGTACGCGTGTGTGCTCGCGTACGTGTGTGTATGGTGTGGCTCATCCTTTCAGCCAAAAATACATACGGTCAGTGGCGTAGCGAGGTCGGGTATCACCCGGTGCGGCACTTAATGGTGTCACCCCCCAGAGGCGTAGTGACCCTTCCCGGGGACAAACTTTCAAATTTTCGATTTGCACCCCCTCCCCTCAAACTTTTGATTTGCACCCCCCCCCCCCTCAAGTTTTTCTGTATATATTTTGCTATTTTTTGCCTTGGTGTCACACCCCTAAATGGTGTCACCCGGTGCGGTCCGCCTCCCCCGCCCCCCCCCCCCTCGCTACGCCTCTGCATACGGTGCATTCTTAGTCATCAGATCTGTAGCCTGCTGGTTGACAGATATACATTAGTCAATGTTTTAGTTTCAAATTGTGATGGCTCATCCTTTAAATACTAAGACATCTGGGTGAAAGATATACATTAGTCAATTTTTAGGTTCAAATTGTGATGGCTCATCTTTTATATACTAAGACAACCTAGTAAAATAATCAATAGTCAAGACATACGTCTTTACAGAGACATGACAGACACATCCACCATACTATATGTTATACTAGAGACAAGCTGACATAAAAGTAGCATGACAACATTGATGGCTGATGTATTTACTAATGATCTGCGTTTTCATTTTTTAAACTTAACCTTATTTACACATCTTTCAATTATTCACACATCATTCAAATATTCTCACAACCTTCAAATAGTCTCACGTCATTCAAATATTCACACAACATTCAAATATTCACACATTATTCAAATATTCACACAGCATTCAAATATTCTCACAACATTCAAATATTCTCACAACATTCAAATAGTCTCACGTCATTCAAATATTTACACATCATTCGAATATACACACAGGATTCAAATATATTCACATATGTTTCACTTTTATTTCACACATCATGAACACATCATTCATACATCATCAAACGCCCACAATTCACACGCTTCTCCCCCCTCCCACAAACGTGCTCACATTTTTCACACAGGACACATAATACAAACACAATGTAGCATCCCACACATCATTTCAACCTTATACAAAACAATTGACTGGTTATAAATTAGCTTCATTTCAACCTTATTCAAAACAAATTTAACTAGTTATAAATTAGCTTCATTTCAACCTTATACAAAACAAATTTAACTAGTTATAAATTAGCTTCATTTCAACATTATACAAAACAAATTTAACTAGTTATATTTTAGCTTCATTTCAACATTTTACAAAACAAATTTAACTAGTTGTGTTTAGTTTAGCAGCTTATAGACGCCACTCTACAGTTGACAAAGATAAGATGGGTCATTCACAAGTCCATTTCTTAACCTGTCCGTTAAAGATGTTCAGCAAAACATCATATTGTGTCGCCATGTGTAGGCTATAGGATTTTATTTGTAAACAGGTCAAGTCCTTCGTGATTCTAACTTTGGGATTTTCTGGCTACAAGGAAAGGGGAGAGTATGCTCAACAGTGAGATGTCACTCCGAGTTACTGTTCCTGAACTCCTACTTTCCCCTCGGAAATCCTAGCTGAAGCAGGAACATAACTCACTGTCTCATCCCCCACACGTTTCAACTAAATCAGATTAGGTTGAAATACTTACTCATATTGTTCTGTTGTAGACGATCTGTCTCAGCTCTGTTAAATCAAATTGTTGAGATAATAGATTGGGTCTATGAGTAATTGAGGGGGGGGGGGGGGTTGATAGTTTCAAGAAGATTCCATAAAATCTGCCTCAATTAAAAATAGTATTTTTTTCTAATTTTTTAGTGATTGTTGTATGTACAATTTTTACATAATTACGCACTAAACAAAATGTTCGTGGATTGAAATTAGTGTAAAAATAGTTTTTACATGTATATTTATCTAGAGTTAGGGGCGTTCGAAAAGAATTTCACCATAAATTTTGAAGAAAATGGCATTTTGGCTGAGATCCCCGCGTTGAACAACAAACCAACAACAGAGAGAGAGGGGGCCAAGTGGACCAATGATACAGAGTCAGAACCTCAGCTAGGGCGGGTCATTGAGGCAACCACAACCACAGCAACCACACGGGTTGGCAGCACATCAGGGATAGCGACCACTACAACGGCAACCCGCGTTACCATGACAACCAGTTTACCAGCGGTAACGTCAACCAGGACGGTCTTGTTCAACCCGGATGTGGTTGCTCCTGAAAGCAATGGTACACATAGCAGTCATATAGTTTACTGCTACTATAAATTGCAGTCATATATTTTACTGCTACTATAAATTGCAGTCATATATTTTACTGCTACTGTAAATTGCAGTCATATATTTAACTGATACTATAAATTGCAGTCATATATATTACTGCAATTCCAGCCATGTAACTTAATGCTACTATAAATAGCTGTCGTATATCTCTACTACAGAATGCAATGATCTATGAGCGACGCTATCTTTGTTTCACACATATTATATTGACCGTCAAAACAATGCACCAATGAATGCATGATCTTTGTGTGTATAAGTATGACTATTATTGTACTCTATTTATCCTCTAACATATATCGCATTTCTCTACTTAACGTGTAACAGTAAACTATATACACTTCTTATATATACTATATATACTTATATTATACTACTAAACTATGCTATCCCTATTTCTTTCAGCTGATCTGTAGAACCATGGCTTGCTCTACTCACTTTATATCATGCAGATTCTATGTATTATTTTCATACGCCTTTATGTGCTTATGTGATCGCTCATGAAATTTCGCTATTGATTTGAATAAAATGAAAATAACGCAAAAATAAAATAAATATATTTAATCTTTATTTTAAATAAAGTCTTTTAAACTTATTTTATGTTTATTTTTATGTATTATACATTTTTGTATACATTTTGCTATTTTAAATTTACAATTTCTTTTTTTTAATTTAAATTAAAAGAATAATTTAAAGTCATAGATATTAAATAAAAGCATACAAACATCGTAAACCATTAAAATAGAAGTAAAATACGTTATTTTAGTACTACACGCAACTACATGTATAAATTGACATTCATTGAAGGCTCTAATATAACTGAGATATTTTCAGAGGAAGCCCCTCCTTACATCGAGAGAACAAACAGTCAAGCACGAGTTATCATCCCTAAATCTCAGTTCAACCATTTTATGCTACACTGTCAGGCGCAGGGGAGACCACAACCCACGTGAGTAGCTACTTAATTGATTATGAGGGTCAGAGGTTGTCATGTTGTAGGGTCTCAATATTTTCTTGGTTGTTGCAGTCTCATTAATGGTTGTCACGATGCGTTGGGGGCGTCACATCAATGGTTGTCATGATGGGGGTTGGGGGCGTCACATCAATGGCTGTCATGATGGGGGTTGGGGGCGTCACATCAATGGTTGTCATGATGGGGTTGGGGGGGGGGGGGGGAAAGTCACATCAGGTTGGGGGGGGGCGTCACATCAATGGCTGTCATGATGGGGATTGGGGGGGGGGGGGAAGTCACATCAGGTTGGGGGGGGGCGTCACATCAATGGCTGTCATGATGGGGGTTGGGGGCGTCACATCAATGGCTGTCATGATGGGGGTTGGGGGCGTCACATCAATGGCTGTCATGGTGGGGGTTGGGGGCGTCACATCAATGGTTGTCATGATGGGTTGGGGGCGTCACATCAATGGTAGTCATGATGGGGATTGGGGGGGGGGGGAAAGTCACATCAGGTTGGGGGGGGGCGTCACATCAATGGCTGTCATGGTGGGGGTTGAGGGCGTCACATCAATGGTTGTCATGATGGGTTGGGGGCGTCACATCAATGGTTGCCATGATGGGGATTGGGGGGGGGGGAAGTCACATCAGGTTGGGGGGGGGGGCGTCACATCAATGGCTGTCATGATGGGGGTTGGGGGCGTCACATCAATGGCTGTCATGATGGGGGTTGGGGGCGTCACATCAATGGTTGCCATGATGGGGGTTGGGGGCGTCACATCAATGGTTGTCATGAAGGGGGTTGGGGGAGTCACATCAATGGTAGTCATGATGGGGGTTGGGGGCGTCACATCAATGGTAGTCATGATGGGTTGGGGGCGTCACATCAATGGTTGTCATGATGGGGGTTGGGGGCGTTACATCAATGGTTGTCATGAAGGGGGTTGGGGGAGTCACATCAATGGTAGTCATGATGGGTTGGGGGCGTCACATCAATGGTTGCCATGATGGTGGTTGGGGGGGGGAAGTCACATCAGGTTGGGGGGGGGGCGTCACATCAGGTTGGGGGGGGTCACATCAATGGTTGCCATGATGGGGTTGGGGGGGGGGCGTCACATCAGGTTGGGGGGGGGGTCACATCAATGGTTGTCATGATGGGGGTTGGGGGTGTCACATCAATGGTTGTCATGATGGGTTGGGGGCGTCACATCAATGGTTGTCATGATGGGTTGGGGGCGTCACATCAATGGTTGTCATGATGGGGGTTGGGGGTGTCACATCAATGGTTGTCATGATGGGTTGGGGGCGTCACATCAATGGTTGTCATGATGGGTTGGGGGCGTCACATCAATGGTTGTCATGATGGGGGTTGGGGGCGTCACATCAATGGTTGTCATGATGGGTTGGGGGCGTCACATCAATGGTTGTCATGATGGGTTGGGGGCGTCACATCAATGGTTGTCATGATGGGTTGGGGGCGTCACATCAATGGTTGTCATGATGGGGGTTGGGGGCGTCACATCAATGGCTGTCATGATGGGGGTTGGGGGCGTCACATCAATGGTTGTCATGATGGGTTGGGGGCGTCACATCAATGGTTGTCATGATGGGGGTTGGGGGCGTTACATCAATGGTTGCCATGATGGGGGTTGGGGGAGTCAATATTTTCTGGGTTGTCAACCGCTGAACAAGAGATCAGCTAGGACAGAATTTTAACCCAGTTTTGAAAAAAAATTAGAGATTAGGATATTTCCTATTTATGGCTGATCTACGATCTATGACTAATGTATGATCGATTCATGACCAATCTATGATTCAAGCATGACTAATCAATGGCCAATCTATCACAAATCTACGACGAAGTGTATGACTAATGTATGACCACGCTATGTCCGATTTATGGGCAGTGTATGAGCAATTTATGTCCAAACTTCGACCAATCTATGGCAAAGATTTAATGCCAATGTAATACGAATCAGCACTTATTCTGTTGATCAAAGTAATTTTATTTCAGATATAAATGGTACACCAACGGCGTGGAAGTTGACGGCAAAAACCCTAAATCGGTCATTTTAACGAACGGAACTCTTGTGTTGAAGAATCTCACTCATCGTTACAACATGGTTCATCAATGCGAGGCGAGAAATATGTACGGAAAGTCACTCTCGGTCAAGTTCCAGGTCATCGCTGAGAAGGACGCCGAAACTGGTAGGTCTGGGTGATCTAGAACATTACTCTGTAGGTCTGGGAGTTCTAGAACATTACTGGTAGGTCTGGGAGTTCTAGAACATTACTGGTAGGTCTGGGAGTTCTAAAACATTTCTGGTAGGTCTGGGTGTTCTAGAACATTTCTGGTAGTCTGAGAGTTCTAGAACATTTCTCTGTAGGTCTGGGAGTTCTATAACATTACAGGTAGGTCTGGGAGTTCTAGAACATTACTCTGTAGGTCTGGGTGTTCTAGAACATTACTCTGTAGGTCTGGGAGTTCTAGAACATTTCTGGTAGGTCTGAGAGTTCTATAACATTACAGGTAGGTCTGGGTGTTCTAGAACATTACTGGTAGGTCTGGGAGTTCTAGAACATTACTGGTAGGTCTGGGAGTTCTAGAACATTACTCTGTAGGTCTGGGTGTTCTAGAACATTACTCTGTAGGTCTGGGAGTTCTAGAACATTTCTGGTAGGTCTGAGAGTTCTATAACATTACAGGTAGGTCTGGGTGTTCTAGAACATTACTCTATAGTTCTAGGAGTTATAGAACATTACTGGTAGGTCTGGGTATTCTAGAACATTACTGGTAGGTCTGGGTGTTCTAGAACATTACAGGTAGGTCTGGGAGTTCTAGAACATTACTTTGTAGGTCTGGGTGTTCTAGAACATTACAGGTAGGTCTGGGAGTTCTAGAACATTACTCTGTAGGTCTGGGTGTTCTAGAACATTACTGGTAGGTCTGAGAGTTCTAGAACATTTCTGGTAGGTCTGAGAGTTCTAGAACATTACTGGTAGGTCTGGGTGTTCTAGAACATTACTTTGTAGGTCTGGGAGTTATAGAACATTTCTGGTAGGTCTGGGTGTTCTAGAACATTACTTTGTAGTTCTGGGAGTTCTAGAACATTACTCTGAAGGTCTGGGAGTTCTAGAACATTTCTCTGTAGGTCTGGGTGTTCTAGAACATTAATGGTAGGTCTGGGAGTTCTAGAACATTACTGGTAGGTCTGGGAGTTCTAGAACATTACTCTGTAGGTCTGGGAGTTCTAGAACATTACTGGTAGGTCTGGGTGTTCTAGAACATTTCTGGTAGGTCTGGGTGTTCTAGAACATTACTCTGTAGGTCTGGGAGTTCTAGAACATTTCTGGTAGGTCTGGGAGTCCTAGAACATTTCTGGTAGGTCTGGGAGTTCTAGAACATTACTCTATAGGTCTGGGTGTTCTAGAACATTACTCTATAGGTCTGGGAGTTCTAGAACATTACTCTATAGGTCTGGGTGTTCTAGAACATTAATGGTAGGTCTGGGAGTTCTAGAACATTACAGGTAGGTCTGGGTGTTTTAGAACATTTCTGGTAGGTCTGAGAGTTCTAGAACATTTCTGGTTGGTCTGGGAGTTCTAGAACATTACTGGTAGGTCTGGGAGTTCTAGAACATTACTGGTAGGTCTGGATGTTCTAGAACATTACTCTGTAGGTCTGGGAGTTATAGAACATTTCTGGTAGGTCTGGGAGTTATAGAACATTTCTGGTAGGTCTGGGAGTTATAGAACATTTCTGGTCGGTCTGGGAGTTCTAGAACATTTCTGGTAGGTCTGGGTGTTCTAGAACATTACTCTATAGGTCTGGGTGTTCTAGAACATTACTTTGTAGGTCTGGGAGTTCTAAAACATTTCTGGTAGGTCTGGGTGTTCTAGAACATTACAGGTAGGTCTGGGTGTTCTAGAACATTACTGGTAGGTCTGGGTGTTCTAGAACATTACTGGTAGGTCTGGATGTTCTAGAACATTACTCTATAGGTCTGGGTGTTCTAGAACATTACTCTATAGGTCTGGGTATTCTAGAACATTACTTTGTAAGTCTGGGAGTTCTAGAACATTACTGGTAGGTCTGGGAGTTCTAGAACATTACTGGTAGGTCTGGGTGTTCTAGAACATTTCTGGTAGGTCTGGGAGTTCTAAAACATTTCTGGTAGGTCTGGGAGTTCTAGAACATTTCTGGTAGGTCTGGGAGTTATAGAACATTTCTGGTAGGTCTGGGAGTTATAGAACATTTCTGGTAGGTCTGGGAGTTCTAAAACATTTCTTGTAGGTCTGGGTGTTCTAGAACATTACTGGTAGGTCTGGGAGTTCTAGAACATTTCTCTGTATGTCTGGGAGTTCTAGAACATTACTGGTAGGTCAGTCTGGTTAAACATTCACTGGTAGGTCTTGGGGGTGTAGACCTTGACTGATAGGTCTGGGAGTCAAGACATTTACTAGTAAGTCTGGGAGTTCTAGAAGATACCGTTTACAAATACCGTCTGTCTTTAATAAAGGCTACACTTACTGACATGACATTGTCATTGGAACATTCTAGAACTTTAATCCTACTTCCGGTTATTTATGTCAAAAATATTTTCAACCGTGTAAATATGCAAGAAAAAGAAAATAGAAAAAAATGTGAGGAGGCCGTTCTAAAGATGTAGGCCTACAGATTGTTACCTTATGCTTAGATCATGACAATTTTTGGTAACTCGAATTGTGTGCTTTATTTATATAAATAGTTTAAGTGTTTTCCTGAGCTCGATTATTTATCTTGAATTTAATTGGGAGCTAGATTTACCCGTGTTCTAATGTAATTCTTTTACAGTTTAAAAAACAAATTATAAATATTTTTTTTAAAGTTTTGAATTCTCTGCTTGTCGTTAGATCTGACTTACGTACCTAGCTTGTCTACACATGATATGTTGTGCTACGGATACGTTTTGTCACTGCTAAAAGCACTAAATCTAACATTGAACAAACATTATCTCCACAGAATCAGAGGCGCCTGCAATAGTTTACCCAGTCAGCGATGGTCAGCCGTTGTCCATCCCGTGTGGAGAGACGCCCCCTACAGTCCCCGACTACATCAAAAAATGGTACCGTCGACAGTCTTCGTCAGAGCTCTTCATGGACGCCCGCATAGGCAGCGATCTCAACGGTAAACTATCCGTACAGCTATTTAAGCTGTTTAATTAGCCAATACAGCATTTGGCTATTTAGTCAAATAATTTAACATTAGGCTATTTACTCAAGTAATACAACATTAGGCTGTTTACTCAAGTAATACAACATTAGGCTGTTTACTCAAGTAATACAACATTAGGCTGTTTAATTAACCAATGCAGCATTAGGCTGTTAAGTTAACCCATACAGCCAGACAAAATATCAAACAAAGACCTGTGGCAAATTTTAAAGCAACAGCCAATAGAGAAAGATATCAAGGCCCGTAAATGGGCATTGATCGGACACACGTTAAGAAGAGAAAGAGAAAATATCGCAAAACATGCTATGGACTGGAATCCCCAGTGAAAAAGGAAAGTGGGCCGGCCAAAGAAAACATGGAAAAGAACGGTTGAAGAAGAGCCGAAAAAAGCTGGGCTCACACGGGCACAGATTAAGGGAGCAGCCCAAAACCGAGTCCGCTCGAGATGTGTAGTTGCAGCCCTTTGCTCCCCAGGCTGCTAAAATCAAACAACCTTGTTGCCGGGAACATTTTTTATATTTGTTTTATTCTCCCATTCGGTCCAATTATTTTTTTGACAAAATCTCCGCCTTAGAGCAAGTCGTTGATCCAGATTTTAAACTCTTCTCTTCAAGGTACTTTACATTTCGCATATATCGAGAAAGCAGACGCCGGACCCAACTCGAACATGTTTAGGTGTGGTCTAGCACCTCAAAGCTTGGAGAGTTCAAGCATCAACATGTACGGCACATACCAGATCAAAATTCAGGATGCGCCTAAAGGTCAGTCTTTTTTTTTTGGGCGGGGGGGGGGGGGTTGTAGCAAATATTGTAAGGGATCGTTCGTAACTTAAAAATTTACATTTATAAAAACCTCTATAAAAGTAAGATTTTAAATACTCTGTAAATAATGGAAATAAATCACATTTGTTTTCTTTGATTGAAAAATTGGTTGCTAATAAAATCACTAGAAAAGCCAAACGACACAATTTTATAGCTGTTTCAAAACTTCTTAAACATTCTTCTAGAAGTATTTCTAAATGTCTCTATTTTATGTAAGAAGTAAATTAAAAATTAAAAATTGACATTTATAATTATGATTTTCTAATCATGTCATTTGACGCAAGAATCTTTCAAATCTTAGGGCATTGACCTGTTAGGTATTTAAATATTTCCCATTCATTAGATTTGAAAATAAAATTTCAATTTTCATGCCTTTCAAAACTTGCTTGAAATGTTCCATAATGCTTAAAATATTTTTGTTTATGTAGTTTAATGCCAAAATGTTGATTATTTTTGTAGGAGATTTCCTTCCAAGAGTCGCATACGCCCCAACTAATGTAAAAGGTCAAATAGGACGCAGCGTCACACTTGAGTGCTTTTTCTCTGGACGGTAACTAACTAAATAGTTTTCCGACAACGTTCACTACTGAATGGTGACAGCTTTACAAATATATTCACATATTCTCAATCATCAAACAGGCCTGTTCCCACGCTGAGGTGGACAGACAACAAAAACAATGGTATCCTTGGCAACCAGCGATTCCAGCTGCAGGACTTTAACCGGAAGTTGGTTATCACGGAAGTGAGGCAGGAAGACGAGGGGGAGTTCAGGTGTACAGGCACCAATTCTATGGGTTCCGCGCAGATTGAGATCTACCTCAATGTCACCTGTACGTATCATAGTCACCAAATATGTTGCGTACATATTCCCCAATGTCAAGTGTACGTATCATAGTCACCAAATATGTTGCGTACATATTCCCCAATGTCACGTGTACGTATCGTAGTCACCAAATATGTTGCGTACATATTCCCCAATGTCAAGTGTACGTATCATAGTCACCAAATATGTTGAGTACATATTCCCCAATGTCACGTGTACGTATCATAGTCACCAAATATGTTGAGTACATATTCCCCAATGTCAAGTGTACGTATCATAGTCACCAAATATGTTGCGTACATATTCCCCAATGTCAAGTGTACGTATCATAGTCACCAAATATGTTGCGTACATATTCCCCAATGTCACGTGTACGTATCATAGTCACCAAATATGTTGCGTACATATTCCCCAGTGTCACGTGTACGTATCATAGTCACCAAATATGTTGCGTACATATTCCCCAGTGTCACGTGTACGTATCATAGTCACCAAATATGTTGCGTACATATTCCCCAATGTTACGTGTACGTATCATAGTCACCAAATATGTTGCGTACATATTCCCCAATGTCACGTGTACGTATCATAGTCACCAAATATGTTGCGTACATATTCCCCAATGTCACGTGTACGTATCATAGTCAACGCATTTGTTTCTTACTAGCTGGATAAGATTTTACGTAATGTGAAGTTTAGGTTGATCTATCCAGTTTCAATGAGTGCCAATCAAAACAAGTATTCAACACATTGCATTGCACAGAAAAATCATTATCACGATATATATCAAAATAATAAAATTTTATGCTGTGAAGCTCTGGTTTACAAATAAAAATACAATATTCAGTCCCGATTTGATTATAAAATATTCACAATTTTTCTTTTATTTGATGTGGAGATGAAAGCTTAAAGACAGCAATATAATATATAGATCTTCTATGTGCTTTTTAAGGTTGAATAAAGGCGAAAAAATGCACACATTAAAATAACATAAATATTTGAAAATAAATGTGATTGCTCCAGATAATATCCCAGTTGTGGTAACTTCTCGAACATTTTAGTTTACTTTAGTTTAGTTTACAGATAAATAGAACCGATTAAGGCACTTCAATACATGCCATCTGCAGATAAAGATGGAATTAAAAAACACAAAGCATGTAAATATTAGAATAATCAAATAAGACACAGAGAATCTCTAGAAAGATTTACAGCGCCAATGTTGAACTTTAAAATTCATTTATAAGGCCTACTTTTATAGAGATAAAAAAAACAAAATGTAAGCACAAAATACTTTAAATGTTAGGAATTTGGACAATGACTAGTTTAATTGTGCAGTTTTTTTTTTCTGGTAAAAAATGTGTTTAAATCCATATTTTTTAAAAAGTACAAAGTGTGTAAATATTCTTGAGCTGTATAATGATTACATCCACTTTAAATAGCTGCACCCATGAGAGAGAGTTCTTTTGGGCCCCTTACTTACCCTACAGAACACGACGTCACATTGAACTGTACGGCTAAGGCGGCAGCTAAAGAGACACTAGAAAAACCTGTTTGGTACAGAAACGGGGAGGTTTTCAAAGAAGGTATGAATGGAATTAACACCTACATTATTTGTTGAGTAGTAGGTCTAAGAAAATAGACTGATTGTAAACGTGTGTAGAATCATATACGGTGTTAGTGGTTGTCGTGGTCGAGTCGGTAAAGCTCATGGTTGCTAAACCGAAAAATCTCGAGTTCGAACCGTCGGGCAGATGAGGCTCGTTAGCTGGGGACAAGCCACTCTTCTAGGAGAGACAACTCCAAAATCAAACAGCTGCTGCCTTGTAGTTTGTTCTTGGTTGGACAAAGGCTAAGGAAGCAAATCCTAAAAGAAAAGCAGGCTGAAATCGGAGTTAATAGCCTCAATGGCGCATAACCAGTTGATAAATATCTTTAATTGTGATGAAGAGTGGTCGAGTCGGCAAAAGCGGTTGATAAATTCGAAAATGTCTCGAGTTCAAACCCTCTGGCAGATCAGGCTCGATCCCTCCCAACACTATAAATTAAGAACGAAGCAGAAGAAATGCTGTGTTTTATTAGTTATTTTGTTTTCAAGATTTAGAATATTCGATACTATAAAAGTTTGGCTTTTTGAAGTTATTATGAATTATTCATGTTGTTTAGGCGTTTTTTTTTCAGGTTAAAAATGGTTTTCTTGTTTGAGATACACCAATATAAATGTTTTGAGAAAATTCTTGGTTTTTTTTTAAATCTATGAATGAATACACGACTTCCTTTTTTTTTGTTTGTTTGTTTGTATGTTTATTTGTTTGTTTGTTTGTACCAGAGAACTTCCCTGACGTGTACCGGTACAGGTTTAACGAGGACAGGACGAGGCTGAGCATAAAAAACCTGAACAAGAGCGTCGATACGGCCTGCTACCAGTGTAATATCTCCAATAGCGAGGGCTACATCTTTTATGACGGCTACATCAGGGTCATAGGTAGGTGGGGCTACATCTTTTATGACGGCTACATCCGGGTCATAGGTAGGTGTGGCTGCATCAGGGTCATTGGTAGGTGGGACTACATCTTTTATGACGGCTACATCCGGGTCATAGGTAGGTGGGGCTACATCAGGGTCATAGGTAGGTGGGGCTACATCAGGGTCATAGGTAGGTGGAGCTACCTCAGGGTCATAGGTAGGTGGGGCTACATCAGGGTCATAGGTAGGTGGGGCTACATCAGGGTCATAGGTAGGTGGGGCTACATCAGGGTCATAGGTAGGTGGGGCTACATCAGGGTCATAGGTCGGTCGGGCTACATCAGAGTCATAGGTAGGTGGGGCTACATCAGGGTCATAGGTAGGTGGGGCTACATCAGGGTCATAGGTAGGTGGGGCTACATCAGGGTCATAGGTGGGTCGGGCTACATCAGGGTCATAGGTAGGTGGGGATACATTAGGGTTATAGGTGGGTGGGGCTACATCAGGGTCATAGGTAGGTGGGGCTACCTCAGGGTCATAGGTAGGTGGGGCTACCTCAGGGTTATAGGTGGGTGGGGCTACATCAGGGTCATAGGTAGGTGGGGCTACCTCAGCTCAGGGTCATAGGTAGGTGGGGCTACCTCAGCTCAGGGTCATAGGTCAGGTGGGGCTACATCAGGGTCATCGGTAGGTCGGGCTACATCAGGGTCATAGGTGGGTGGGGCTACATCAGGGTCATAGGTAGGTGGGGCTACATCAGGTCATAGGTGGGTGGGGCTACATCAGGGTCATAGGTGGGTGGGGCTACATCAGGGTCATAGGTGGGTGGGGCTACATCAGGGTCATAGGTGGGTGGGGCTACATCAGGGTCATAGGTAGGTGGGGCTACATCAGGTCATAGGTGGGTGGGGCTACATCAGGGTCATAGGTGGGTGGGGCTACCTCAGGGTCATAGGTAGGTGGGGCTACCTCAGGGTCATAGGTAGGTGGGGCTACATCAGGGTTATAGGTAGGTGGGGCTACATCAGGGTCATAGGTGGGTGGGGCTACATCAGGGTCATAGGTGGGTGGGGCTACATCAGGTCATAGGTGGGTGGGGCTACATCAGGGTCATAGGTGGGTGGGGCTACATCAGGGTCATAGGTGGGTGGGGCTACATCAGGGTCATAGGTAGGTGGGGCTACATCAGGTCATAGGTGGGTGGGGCTACATCAGGGTCATAGGTGGGTGGGGCTACATCAGGGTCATAGGTGGGTGGGGCTACATCAGGGTCATAGGTAGGTGGGGCTACATCAGGGTCATAGGTGGGTGGGGCTACATCATGGTCATAGGTGGGTGGGACTATATTAGGGTCATAGGTAGGGGGGGGGGCTTACATCAGGGGTTGAGGTAGGTGGGGCTACATCATCTCATAGGTAGGTGGGGCTACATAAGGGTCATAGGTGGGTGGGGCTACATCAGGTCTCAGGTAGGTGGGACTACATCAGGGTATTAGGTGGGTGGGGCTACATCAGGGTCATAGGTAAGTGGGGCTACATCAGGGTCATAGGTGGGTCGGGCTACATCAGGGTCATAGGTAGGTGGGGCTACATTAGGGTTATAGGTGGGTGGGGCTACATCAGGGTCATAGGTAGGTGGGGCTACCTCAGGGTCATAGGTAGATGGGGCTACCTCAGGGTTATAGGTGGGTGGGGCTACATCAGGGTCATAGGTAGGTGGGGCTACCTCAGCTCAGGGTCATAGGTCAGGTGGGGCTACATCAGGGTCATCGGTAGGTGGGGCTACATCAGGGTCATAGGTGGGTGGGGCTACATCAGGGTCATAGGTGGGTGGGGCTACATCAGGTCATAGGTGGGTGGGACTACATCAGGGTCATAGGTGGGTGGGGCTACATCAGGTCATAGGTGGGTGGGACTACATCAGGGTCATAGGTGGGTGGGGCTACATCAGGTCATAGGTAGGTGGGGCTACATCAGGGTCATAGGTGGGTGGGGCTACATCAGGGTCATAGGTGGGTGGGGCTACATCAGGGTATAGGTGGGTGGGGCTACATCAGGGTCATAGGTGGGTGGGGCTACATCAGGTCATAGGTGGGTGGGACTACATCAGGGTCATAGGTGGGTGGGGCTACATCAGGGTCATAGGTAGGTGGGGCTACATCAGGGTCATAGGTGGGTGGGGCTACATCATGGTCATAGGTGGGTGGGACTATATTAGGGTCATAGGTAGGGGGGGGGCTTACATCAGGGGTTGAGGTAGGTGGGGCTACATCATCTCATAGGTAGGTGGGGCTACATAAGGGTCATAGGTGGGTGGGGCTACATCAGGTCTCAGGTAGGTGGGACTACATCAGGGTATTAGGTGGGTGGGGCTACATCAGGGTCATAGGTAGGTGGAGCTACGTCAGGGTCATAGGTGGGTGGGGCTACCAGGGTCAAAGGTGTGTGGGGCTACATCAGGGTCATAGGTAGGTGGGGCTACATCAGGGTCAAAGGTAGGTGGGGCTACATCAGGGTCATAGGTAGGTGGGGCTACATCAGGGTATTAGGTGGGTGGGGTTACATCAGGGTCATAGGTAGGTGGGGCTACATCTTTTATGACGGCTACATTAGGGTATTAGGTGGGTGGGGCTACATTAGGGTCATAGGTAGGTGGGGCAACATCGGGGTCATAGGTAGGTGGGGCTACATCAGGCAACTAAAAATATTTGCTTTAAAACATTATCAATCCCCCCGCCCCCCTGCGAAAGCAGCTATCAGTGACGAAAGTTTACAGACAACAACCAGATCCAGTAAATCTTGTCAGTGGCGTAGCGAGTTCGGGTGTCACCCGGTGCGGCACTTAATGGTGTCACCCCCCCCCCCCCCCCCCAGAGGCGTTGCGACCCTTCCCGGGGACAAACTTTCAAGTTTTCGATTTGCGACCCCCCCCCCTCAAGTTTTCGATTTGCACCCCCCCCCCCTCAAACTTTCGATTTGCACACCCCCCCCCTCAAGTTTTTCTCTATATATTTTGCTATTTTTTGCCTTGGTGTCACCCCCCTAAATGGTGTCACCCGGTGCGGTCCGCACCCCCCGCCCCCCCTCGCTACGCCCCTGAATCTTGTTACCTCCCTTTAGTTTCAAATCATTTAATAAAACTATATTATCTGCCCCTAATAGCCTTCACTAGATCGACCGCCTCCTCGATTGTAAATATTCGGCGTGAACCACAGCTCACCAGACTGGTCGGTTGATAGCGTCTAGCTAGTTATCTCCCCTTCTGTTATTGAATATAGCAATCTATCAAGTGATTTGCTTTTGTTATCTCCTCTCGAAACCGTTGAATTAATTTCTAATGACTGATTAAACATCAAATTAAATTATTAAAAAATAGATAGACTTGTATTGTCATCGAAGTGGAAAGTGCCTGGAAAGTATGATCGAAATCGCTGCATTAGAAGTGGGTCAAATTGAGTTACACTGATATGTGTAAAGTCATCTCTACATATTGACGACATTTCTATTCTATATAAAGTTAACTTCTTTATCTATGTCTAAATGTGATAAACATTAACATCATTCCACAGATTCCATCAAAATAGGATCAAAGATCCCAGAAAAGATCAATCTGCTCACCTCACCTGAAATTATTGACCTGACGGTGACCGCTACAAAAGACGCATGTTGCACGCTCACAAGGAAATGGTACATCAATGAAACTCTCCAGGCTGATTCAAAGTTTGAAAATCCTCCATTCTAGTATGTTTTTCTTAGAATTCGACCTGAAGCTTTATTTAACGTTATGTTTTCATTTGTTTTTACAACTTTAAGTCATGATTCGGTTTTTCATAACGTCGATAAAACACGTTTTTTTTATTTCTTTCCCCAGTGATTATGGCTCGTCCACGGGTACTTTGTTTATCAACAAGTCCCTGGTGTCACGTGATCAGCTGATGGAAATTGTGGGATACTACAGGTTGAGTCTGTACAACAGGTACCAGACTGTTGACGTCACGTTCTCTCTAACTTTAGAAGGTGAGTACTTCATACAACAGGTACCAGACTGTTGACGTCACTTCATACAACAGGTGTCAGACTGTTGACGTCACGTTCTCTCTAACTTTAGAAGGTGAGTACTTCATTAGACAGGTGTTAGACTGTTGACGTCACGTTCTCTCTAACTTTAGAAGGTGAGTACTTCATACAACAGGTGTCAGACTGTTGACGTCACGTTCTCTCTAACTTTAGAAGGTGAGTACTTCATTCGACAGGTAACAGACTGTTGACGTCACTTCATACAACAGGTGTCAGACTGTTGACGTCACGTTCTCTCTAACTTTAGAAGGTGAGTTCTTCATACAGCAGGTGTCAGACTGTTGACGTCACGTTCTCTCTAACTTTAGAAGGTGAGTACTTCATTAGACAGGTGTTAGACTGTTGACGTCACGTTCTCTCTAACTTTAGAAGGTGAGTACTTCATACAACAGGTGTCAGACTGTTGACGTCACGTTCTCTCTAACTTTAGAAGGTGAGTACTTCATTCGATTGGTAACAGACTGTTGACGTCACTTCATACAACAGGTGTCAGACTGTTGACGTCACGTTCTCTCTAACTTTAGAAGGTGAGTACTTCATACAACAGGTGTCAGACTGTTGACGTCACGTTCTCTCTAACTTTAGAAGGTGAGTACTTCATTCGATAGGTAACAGACTGTTGACGTCACTTCATACAACAGGTGTCAGACTGTTGACGTCACGTTCTCTCTAACTTTAGAAGGTGAGTACTTCATACAACAGGTACCAGACTGTTGACGTCACAACATCCTTAACTTTAGAAGATGAGTACTTCATACGTCATGAAGTTCCTTGTATTTCAGCTGTAGACTACGACTTCATCTTCCACATATGACACTGAGTGCATTTTCTAGTGCATTATTACTTAAAAGCTTGTTATTAAATCGTTTTTCATGCAGTTTTTTTAGTAGTTTAAACTATTTGTTTACAATAGAGTTGCATGACTAAAAACATGTTGCGCACCGAATGAACATAATAACTTGCGTATAATAGTGCGGAAAGAGTAGTACAAGGCAGCCTACTAATTTAAGAAAATTTTAATTAATTCATAAAATATTAATTAAGCATCTAATTAAGTCTAAGTTTATGTCATTTTGCATCGTCTTCAAGTCTTGACCATCGTACTAACTTTGAAACAAATCTGTCAGTAAGAAGTGTTCGCAATTTTGCTCGCCCGTTTTGATCTAGAACGACAAACTGACGACAGACAGACTGACGACAGAGGAAGCAAGTTAAGCTTGTAATAAAAGCTTGTACTTAACTTTGTGTAGTGTAATAATAAATTTTGTGAATGATTTGAGAAAATTCCATTTTTAGGCTGTTTCACTTTGTAGGTTTATTATAAGTATAAAGCTGGTGTTTTTCGTCTGTGAAGTTGGTGTTAATTCTATGCTTGGTCAAGTCTATGCCAGGTTTTTGCCGGTTAGATTTTTGCTGTCTGGCATCAAGATAGAGATTTTGTAGATATCCCAGCTAGTTTCGTGCAGGCTGAAATGAGTGTACTTGTGGTCTGATGGCGCTCTTCAGACACTCCTAATCAACAGCTGCCAAGTCTTGACCAAACTCACTAATTTTAATTAGTGACGGTGTTTTACGGTGTGTATAAAATGTTTTTTTATGAAAAACAAAAGAAACGAAAAATTCTGTCACACGTTTTCAGACGGTCCAGAGTCCCTAATCTCTGCTGGTGGCGGGTTCACAGAGTGGTGGATCATCCTGCTATGTGGTCTTCTGGTCATCATCATCGCCATTGTTGTCGTCGTCGTTATCATCAAAAGCAATTACCCAAGAAATACCTATCTATGTAAGTATTGTTTTAACAATTTTAATTTCTCTTTTTATTTAAAATGTGTGTTTCGTTTCAAAATTATTGTCTTTTAGACTAAGCAAACCACAAAAGTAGATAAATACTATCAGAAAAATTGCGTTTTAATGTAACATTGTTTTGATTAATAAACGCAATGTTTAATATTCGCACACGGATTTATTTTGAAAGATATAGTATATCTTATTTTGCTGTAAGGTAATGGTATGAAACCTCTTAACTATCTCTATATGTATCGTAATGTGCTATAAGGTAATGCAATGAAACCTCTTAACTTCCGCTTTTCTGTTGATAGTGGAGAAGAAAGAGCTTAAGCACAATCTCAACCCAGAAGCCGATCTACTGAATCAATCTTTCCAAGAAATTTAAGACAAGACAGAGGCCGATCTACTGAATCAATCTTTCCAAGAAATTTAAGACAGAGGCCGATCTATTCAATTAATCTTTCCAAGAAATTTAAGACAGAGGCCGATCTATTCAATTAATCTTTCCAAGAAATTTAAGACAAGACAGAGGCCGATCTATTCAATTAATCTTTCCAAGAAATTTAAGACAGAGGTCGATCTATTCAATTAATCTTTCCAAGAAATTTAAGACAGAGGCCGATCTATTAAATTAATCTTTCCAAGAAATTTAAGACAAGACAGAGGCCGATCTACTGAATCAATCTTTCCAAGAAACTTAAGACAAGACATATGCTATTAACGTAACAAAGTAATTAGTAACAAATTTATTAAATCTTTTATAAACCACCACTTTCACGAAAACTAGACAGAATTACCTAAGAAACCAATACCTATTACAAATCAATAAAGTGTATATTTAATTCTACATGTTTTCAAGATATACCAAAATCAGCTGCAATTTACTCTATCTTATTTAGAAAAATGATCCCATCTGCCCAGTTAATGTTAGGTTCCCTATTTGAGATTATCTCACAATAACATATTCCTCGGCTTAGGTATGTCTTCACAACTCTCTGAAAACTGTCTATAGATAGATTGTTCTGCTCCTTTTTAATTTAACTAAATCAACAAAATATTCCTATCCACACCCTTTCAACGTGGGTTACATAGATAATGATAGACATGAACATCGGGACGTGCTGAATTAAAATATTTTATTAGGGCTAAATAATGTATTTTCGTGAAGTTCTAAGAAACCAAGACGTTTTACAAACCAATAAAGTGTATATTTAATTCTACATGTTTTCAAGATATACCAAAATCAGCTACAATTTAGTTTATTTAATTTAGAAAAATTATCCCAACTGCCCAGTTAATGTTAGGTTCCCTACTTGAGATTATCTCACAATAACATATTCCAAGGCTTAGGCATATGTCTTCACAACTCTCTAGATATTTTGTTCTGCTCCTTCTTAATTTAACTTAATCAACAAAATATTCCCATCCACACCCTTTCAGCGTGGGTTACATAGATAATGATAGACATGAACATCGGGATATGCTGAATTAAAATATTTTATTAGGGCTAAATAATGTATTTTGGTGAAACTCTGGGCGAAGTTTGTTGTTTTTATACTGTATGGGTGTATGTGTATGTTTATGTGTGCACTTGGATGAAAGCAAATAGTTAATTACTAACACGTTGTACAATGTCACCATAGATGATGAACACACAGATACATTTCTTTATTACATTTGGTGTTTGTTGAATACAATAGTTTTCTATTTGTGGTAATGTTTTGAATATTTTGAAGTCTTTTTGTAATACAATTTGTTTTTGATAATTTCTTTATAAATGTATGAAATGTAAAAAATAATGCACAACTGTACTTCATGAAACAATGCATATTTTGCTTATCGCCATATTTTCAATAAAACCCATTTGTATTTTTGCATATGGTTTGTGTTACCCTTAGAAGGGAGAAAATCTTCATGTGCTAACATGTGGTAACGTATGCTAACGTGTGCTAACATGTGCTAACATGTGCTAACATATGCTAACATGTGCTGACACGGCCTAACATGTACTAACACTGACAGCATTAAATGCTGATCTGTAGCATTTTTACAAATCGTGTAGTGCCCCGAGGTTTGTAACAGTGTTCTGATCGTGTACCGTATACAGTGGCATCACCAGGTTAACTCCCGGCAGGTGCGGTTCGTGCCCCTCGCTCACGCCTCGCCAAGCTGCTGTGGTAGACTTTAAAGTAATGACTTTAACTAATGACTTTAACTATTTACTTTTATTAATTACTTTAACTAATTACTTTAACTAATTACTTTAGCTAATTACTTTAAATAATAACTTTAACTAATTACATTAACTAATTACTTTAACTAATTACTTTAACTAATTACTTTAACTAATTACTTTAACTAATTACTTTAACTAATTACTTTAACTAACTACTTTTACTAATTACTAAGGTAATTAAATGTGTGCACAACTGTGTTATTTTAAAAAAATAGAGTGGTCAGTACCAATTCATATTTGTTGAGGTCGAGAAAAGGAAATTTAAAAGAAAAATTGATAACGAATTTTTAATTTCAATTGATAAGATTTGAAAACTGCATTGTCCTTAGTAAATGATTTCGTACGGTATGCGTATTTTAAAATTTTAAATAAAATGTCCATCTGTGAAAATAAACTTCTAATTTTAAAACATATTTGATCAAATTGCATACCTGTTGAAATGGGACAGGTGGGGTTAAAGTTGATAGTTTAATTATCTTAGTAGAAATAATCTTAGTAGAAATAATTTTAGTAGAAATTATCTTAGTAGAAATAATCTTAGGAGAAATAATCTTAGTAGAAATAATCGTAGTAGAAATAATCTTAGTAGAAATAATCTTAGTAGACTAGGTTCACTCCTAGATTGCGATACATTGTCATCAAAAGAAAGTTTAGCAATACCTATTAATAATGAATCAGATGAAAAGCATACACAAACACAAACACTCATCGGGTGAAAATAGAGTTAAAACCAAATTAGAGTTTCAAAAACATTTAAAATGTAGAAGTTTGTCAGGATTGTCAATAGAAATACAGATCTCAGAAAGTGATTAGTGGCACAAGTCATGGACGTATCTAGAGACAGGCACTAATGTGGAATTTCCAGAACAAAAGAAAACAGGAAGTTAAAAAAAAAAACAGACAGTTTGATCTGATGGAAATCACGTGTATCAAGTGGACGAAAGAAACGGAAGGGTTCGTGTATAAGACATCACGTGATGTAAGAGATTGAACAAAGTAACAGAAGGATTAATTGTAACATGTAGACTATACGAACATAAGAGGTATGAAGTTTCACTTAGAATATGTTTAGAGCACAGGTTAGATGCTACAAGACGAAAAGTATGATGTTTACTTTCAAATGTGACTTGGTGTGGTGTTGGGTGTTCAGTTAGACAGAACATCAGGGATCTGTGGTGTTGGTGGTAGAGTTAGACAGAACATAAGGGGTCTGTGGTGTTCAGTTAGACAGAACATGAGGGGTCTGTAGTGTTGGTGGTAGAGTTAGACAGAACATAAGGGATCTGTGGTGTTGGTGGTAGAGTTAGACAGAACATAAGGGGGTCTGTGGTGTTGGTGGTAGAGTTAGACAGAACATAAGGGATCTGTGGTGCTGGTGGTAGAGTTAGACAGAACATCAGGGGTCTGTGGTGTTGGTGGTAGAGTTAGACAGAACATGGGGGGTCTGTGGTGTTGGTGGTAGAGTTAGACAGAACATCAGGGGTCTGTGGTGTTGGTGGTAGAGTTAGACAGAACATGAGGGGTCTGTGGTGTTGGTGGTAGAGTTAGACAGAACATGAGGGGGTCTATGGTGTTGGTGGTAGAGTTAGACAGAACATAAGGGGTCTGTGGTGTTGGTGGTAGAGTTAGACCTATGATCACATCACACGTGAGTATGGTTGAAAGGGGTTGATGAAAGACGACGAAGAAGTAAAAGAACCTCTAAGATTAAGAAATTTTATAACAGACGGCGCAAAGATTAGATGAATCAAGCTGTAGAAAATTACTTATTGATTTTTGAAACTCGAGCAAACCGATCTTAGGCGTGTTATGTAATTAAGTATTGAGCGATCTAAAGTACCATTATGTGAGATACATGTTTGTGTGTCAGTGGCGCAGCGAGGTTGGGTGTCACCCGGTGCGGCACTCAATGGTGTCACCGCTAGAGGCGTAGCGACCCTCAATTTTTCGATTTGCATCCACCCCCGCCTTAACTTTCGATTTGCACCCCCCCCCCCCCACTCAAACTTTCTATTTGCACCTCTTAAAACACTATTTAACACTCGAATTAATCACTTAATTAAGTGGAATTATCATATTTCTCTATATATTTTGCTTTTTTTTGCCTTGGTGTCACCATCCTAAATGGTGTCATCCGGTGCGGTCCGCACCCCGACACCCCCTTCGCTACGCCTCTGTTGCGTGTGCGTGGGGGAGTGGGGTAAAATCTCCTTAAAACATTTTATATATCTTCGACGCTGACAAGACAAATTATCTCAGGACTAATGATCAAAAGGACAAATGATCAAAAGGACAAATGATCAAAAGGACAAATGATCAAAAGGACAAATGATCAAAAGGACAAATGATCAAAAGGACAAATGATCAAAAGGACAAATTATCTCAAGGAAAATTCATCTCGCGGAAAAATATATATCAGGACAAAAATATAAGATCAAAATATATCATGGACAAATAATCTCAGACAATATCTCTGACAAAATATATCTGACAAAATATCTCACGGCAAAATATGTAGGCCTATAGCGTTTGGGATTATTTTAGGCGATTTTATCAATTTCTTTTGCTGTCTTGTTGATTTTATTTGCTTACACAGAATAATTGTGAGATATACTATAGTGTTTCATATGAAATGTCTAAGAAATAAAAATACATAAAATGATTACATTGATGAAAGCCTTAATTACACTAAAGTTCACAATGCGTGGAACAGTTTGCAAAAACGTTCGAAACGTAAAATATTGAAATAGATTAAAATTATCTTAAAAATTATAAATAATATAACAAACTAGTCGTCCCGGCCAGGCCCTGCTCTGGCTTCTGTGAAAAAACTTTCTGTTAAAGACCATTACGCGGCATTGCCCACCCAAACCACAACCAACCAAAACCAAAACAACAAAACGCAAACATAACGCTAACGCAATAACAAATACAAACGAAAACAAAAACCTAACAACAAATCCAACCACAACCACAAACACCAATACAAACACAAAGAAAAAACAAACAAAAAAGCAAACGAAAACAAAAACCTAACAACAAACCCAACCACAACCACAAACACCAATACCAACCAATAACAACACAAAAAAAACGAAAAAGCAAACGAAAACAAACCAAATCCAAACGCAAAACCAACCAAAAACACAAATACAAACCCAAAGAAAAAAAACACAATTAAAAACGAAAAAAGAAAGAACAAAAACGAACCAAATCAAACCGCAACCACTAACGCAAACCCAACCTAAACACAAAGAAAACACTAACGCGAAAATAAACGCAGTCTAGCCCGGGGCGGAATCGCCTGTTTTAGCTTAATAAACGACTATAGTACCCCAACTTATTCATAGTCTTTTGCACTCACTTTAACGAACGCGCCTGTTTCAATTTAATGAACAATTATAATACTCCAAGCTTATCCGTAAAATATCTACAACATTTGCACTTGATCAATCCCCGCTAATTATGTAATTATTTTTTTTCCCAACCCCAAAACAAAGTAATAAAAAGTAAATTCTTTTCCACTAATGTAATGGTTTTATAAAGTGAAGTAATTGTGTTTTCCTAATTTATCAAAGGGAAGTAGGTGCTATAGGACTAAATAAAGACATAATTAGAATTTTTGTAAAAGATGATATTTTTTTTTAAACTTTTGTTTCATGAACATGCCGAAAATTATTACTTTCAGTTTGATAAATGAAAATTATTTCCCAAAACTTTCAATATTAATTTTTTAACTCATAAATTTAGACCACAAGGACTTCAATTATCTAACACTTTAATCCATCGAAGTATGTCAACGACAAACATATGTGTTTTTACATACAGAATTGAGCTTTATATATTAGATTATAAATATTATAAATATTTTGCATTGAGATATTTCGTATGAGTTATTTTTATCTGAGATAGTTTGCCGGTGATATCATTAGTACTTGAGATCATTTATTGTTCTATGATATTTTGTCTGAGACCATTTATCATGAGGTTATTTGTCATGTAACCATTTTCTAATACGATTCTAAATATTTCAAACCAATGAAGTCTATAACTCCTATGTGCACTCAATACTATTACACGAGTGCGTACATCTTATTGCGTGAGTACTTAAACAGTAAAAAACAAAATATCTTAAGTCTAAAACCTGAGATTTGCATTTTTTGCACACGTAGCCTATACGATTACCATACAAAATTCTTGCTTGAGCTCCACTTACGAACAGCAACCTTTTAATCCGCCAGTTAAATGACACGTGTACATGCCCCAGGCAAGTGTTTGCTAACCTTCCGACCGCCATTTTTCTTTTTGCGTGTGCGAAATTGTGTGTTCTGAGCTGCCTTCCATAAGTTATTGTATCGAAACACCTATTCAAAAAGCTTTCAAGTGTTTAGCATTGAAGTATGTGTATGTGGCAATACTTTTCTAGCAAGTATTTTTAGCGCAATTTCCATACTGTCAATTACGTTTAATAATGCGTCATTTCTGGATGGATGGATGGATGGATGGATGGATGGATGGATGGATGGATGGATGGATGGATGGATGGATGGATGGATGGATGGATGGATGGATGGATGGATGGATGGATGGATGGATGGATGGATGGATGGATGGATGGATGGATGGATGGA